GAAAAATAATAGAGAAAGTCAATGAAATAAAAAGCTGGCTCTTTGCAAAGATCAATAAGATGGACAAACCTCTATCAAGACTTAAAAGTGAAAAAAGATAAGACACAAATTATCAATAGCAAGAATGAAAACAGTGGGTTTCCCTACAGACCCTGCAGACACCAAAGGGATAATAAGAGAATATTACAAAGCATTCTATACAAATAACAGCTTACATGAAACAAAATAAATACTGAAGAAAAAAAACCGCCTACTGACACAACTCACTATGAAATAGATCATTTGAATAGCCCTATATCTATTAAGGAGAGTGCACTGGTAATTTAAAATCTCCCCCAAAAGAAATCTCCAGGCCCAGATTGCTTCACTAAAGAATTAACACCAATTCTAAACAATCTTTTCCAGAAAGTAAAAGAGGAGAAAATATTTCCTAATTCATTCTATGACGTTATTACCCTGATATCAAAACTTTGCAAAGACAGTTCAAAAAGAAAACTACTTATTATCGGTGTATAAAAATGCCTTTGGTTTCTGGACATTAATTTTGATTCCTGCTACTTTGCCAAATTAATTTATTAACTCTGGTTTTTTGGTGGAATCTTTAGGGTTTTCTATACACAATATCATGTCATCTGCAAATAATGACAGTTTCACTTCCTCCATTCTAGTTTGGATGCCTTTTGTTTTCTTCTTGTCTGACCGCTTTGGCTAAGACTTCCAGTACTATGTGGAATAAAGTAGTGAAAGGGGATATCCCTGTCTTGTTCCTGTTCTTAAGGGTAACACTTTTAGTTTTTGCCTATTGAGTATGATGTTGGCTGTAAGTTTGTCATAAATGGTCTTTACTGTGTTGCGGCCTCTATCCCCACTTTGTTGAGAGGTTTTTATAAAAAACTAGAGGCCTGATACACAAAATTCATGCAAGGGGCTTGGCCCTCCCAGCCGCGGAGGCTTGCCTTGGCTCTTGCAGCCGCAGTTGTTTGCCTTGGCCCTCGCAGCCCTGGCTTTGTCCATCCGGAAGGTTGTCCAGAAGGTTGTTCGGCCGAAACCGGTTTGGCTCAGTGGATAGAGCGTCGGCCTGTGGACTGAAAGGTCCCAGGTTCGATTCCGGTCAAGGGCATGTACCTGGGTTGCGGGCACATCCCCCGTAGGAGATGTGCAGGAGGCAGCTGATCGATGGTTCTCTCTCATCGATGTTTCTAACTCTCTATCTCTCTCCCTTCCTCTCTGTAAAAAATCAATAAAATATATTAAAAAAAAAAAGAAGGTTGTTCGGCTGTCCGGTCTAATTAGCATATTATCCTTTTATTATTATAGATGGGTGCTGGATTTTGTCAAATGCTTTTTCTGCACCTATTGATACGATCATATGATTTTGCTTATGTGATGTATCACATTTATTGATTTGTAAATATTGTACCAGCCTTGCATTCCTGGGATAAGCCCCACTTGGTCATGAAACTTCCATTTGATGCAGTGATCCTACTTCTAGGACTATATCCTAAGAATCCTGAAAACCAATCAGAAAGGCTATATGCACCCCTATGTTCATAGCAGCATTATTTACAATAGCTAAGATCTGGAAAAGGCCCAAGTACCTATCAGTAGGTGAGTGGATAAAAAAGATATGGTATATTTGCCCAATGAAATACTATCCAGCTGCAAAAAAGAAGGATCTCTTACCCTTTGAGACAGCATGGAGGGACCTGCAGAATATGCTAAGCAAAATAAGCCAGTCAGAGAAAGACAAATATCACATGATCTCACTTATATGTATAATCTAATGAACAAAATAAACTGCTGAACAAAATAGATCCAGAGACATAAAAGCAGAAGAGATTAACCAAATAACTTATATGCATACATCATGCATAACCCATGAACAGACAATAGTGCAGTGAAGGCCTGGGGAGAGGGAAGGAGCAGGGGAGAGGGGGTCAATGGGGCAGAGGAGAGGGGAGAACATCTATACTTTCAACAATAAAGATAAAATTTTAAAAATTGCCTCAGGACAACTCTAGGGTTTTTACATATGTGTTCCAAGAAGGAAGGAGGAAAACACATCACTCACTGCTTGAGGCTTGTGGAGTAATAGTAATTAGGTTTTCCAAAAAGAATGCTCATTACAATTAGAAAAACAAACACTATTAAGATAAATGAAAGTCAGAGAGAGAGATAACACTCCAGAAAGTAAACACACACCTTCACAGGAGTATACATCTTCTTCCTGTGGTTATAAAGGAAGCAAGAACAGCAGAAATCCCTGTACAACTGTATGAATGGAGGAGAGGTGTCTGAAGTCTGGAATTAATTTATTGAGAGGAATTAGGCTTACCGCACAAACATCTGGGTGAGCTACCCATGGACTCGGCAGATTTCAAGAATAAAATGTTAAAAAAATAGCTGGTGAACACATAAAAATAAATGGTCATTATCAAAAGCCAGCTCAGATTCAAGTCAGAAAAGAAAACCAAATTGTATCCACTTTCCATTTTGAGGGTGTTACTAGAATTTTATTCCCACCAAAGAATTTCACAAAATTTCATATTATCTTTACAGTCAAATTAGAAAAACATGGGGAAAGTGAGAAAGTGTAGTGCATCACGGCTCTTATGCACCTATTCAGAGTTCTGATTACTGGAGTTGCCTGGTGCTGGGCCCACGAGCTCTTTCCTTGGTTCTGTGCCACCTACATTTTTACCCATGAGTGAGGACATACAAGGCACACATCCTTATCATGAGGGGAGCAAAGTAGCACAGGCTTCATATTCTTAACTGACAGAATCTGGAACCAACAAATTCTAGACAGGCTGCAACAAGGCCCAAAGTAAAACAATAGTTAGATGAAAATTATGTAAGATCTTGACTTGACACTCAAAACTATACCAATGCTGAAGAGGATAGATTTTTAACAGCAATGAATGAGCTTAAGAGCTTCACTTGACTACAAGCTCAAAATGAGTCAAGACAGGTGTCCGCATTTCCCCTGATCGGAGAGCAAAACACAGGGCAAGAAATGCAGGCCCTATGGAATGCAGTTTCAGGTCCAGGAAGATCTCTGATGATCAGAGCCTGTGAGGAAGTTGAGTTTCCTGTGGCTGGAAATTCTCAGGAAGTAGCTGACCAGGTGGGAATGCTATAAAGGATCTCCTGCCTTGTGGATGCCCAGAGATTACAGGCATCCGTAACTTACCTACCGGAAGCTTGCACTAGGTGACCTCTAAGTTTCCTACCAGCTTCAAAACTACTAGATTTTACTCTGGAAGCTTCTTATTAGCACCTTGTCATGTTGTCTCCTAGGCTACATCCACACTATGAGATCCCTGCTGCCGGACCCATATGCTCCTCCCCAGCAGATTCACGGATCCCGATGAACTTTGGGTTCACAAGGCTCCTGACACTGCCTGCCTACTTGTCACTCCCCTGCCTACAAGCACAGAGTCGCTGTGGGAAGAGATAAATGCTCGTCTTTTTTGTTACCCATTTTTACTAAAATTTTTACCCTCCAACTCTGCCTTGCCAGATGGGCAATTCTAGTGTGATGCTGTCATTGCTGTCTTCCCATTTCAAATACTACAATTATGCTATTTACATACTGCCCCTGAAACTTTGGAAACAGCAGCTCGGCATCAACTGATCAATATCTGCCCACCCCAACCCCTGGCAGTCCTCCATGCCATCATCATTTTTATTAAATCATCATCTCTTCCCAAATTACCTCTTCATATTCTCCTGAAGATGAAGTCTAAGAGCTGAGAGAGCAAAAAGAATAGTCAAAAGAAAAAGAGGAAGAGTTTGACCTTTAACAAGAAGATAAAAAACTATTTTGGCCAGAAAAATTAGAAAAACAACAAAAACAACAAAAAACGTAACAACAAAACCAAGATGCCTGAAACAAGAAGAGCTAAGTTCTTATGATAATGGCCAAACACCAGGTCAAACAACATTTCAAATTGCCAAAATGTTGAAAACTACCCTACTATACTGAACAAGACCAATGGAACTTAAATTGTAAAGATCATCTTGCCTTTCCTCTACAAGATGGTTAGAAAGGCTTTTAAGCCAGCTTCCAACAAGTGAGCTTCTAAAGATTAAGACAAAATACTTACTGAAAAATGTATATCAGGTACAGCCAAATCTCAGTCCCTGCGTGTGTGCTAATTATCATCTCATTTAGAATTTTATTACTGACACACACTTAAATCTCAGGGACAAAACTGCAGTTAGTTTGCTTGCTACAAGTCCTGTCTCAAAGATTAATGACTCAGAAGAGGTAACTGATAGACCTCAGCCCAAATAAATTTTAAAATAGCCACCCCATTATCTAAAGAAACAGATAGTAGGCAGTGCTTTTGTTTAGTCAATGAAGCTGGGGGTGCAAGGAGATGTGTAAACATATGGGCCAGGAGAGGAAAATATTGGGTCTTTGTATTTATAAGCTTATAAACTACAAAGAATTCTATGAAAAGAACTGATACTATTCTCCCGACAACCTTAAGACATTGATAAATGGTAGGGTTATATCTCCATTAAGCCTCTGTTGGTTTTCTGTATGTTGGTAGAAAATGCCTGACTTCAAAGCAAAGTTTAAAAGAACAGTACACAGTTGCTGAGTTCCAAAGTTTATCATTGGCTAAACTCACATTATTTTACATCTGTCTTACAGAGCAGATATTTAAGAAAGTGAACACATGACCCTATACTTATGTTTGACTAACAGAGAGTTCCTTTCCATGAGTCAGCTAAGCCAGGTTGTGCTGTCCTAAGACAAAAGTTGAATTCAAAAAGAACAAAGCTGATATCAAAAATCTCACTTTTTAAAAATCCCACAATCACCATTCTGTGTGCCATTCAGGTACTGAAAAGGTGTAACTAATGAAATTACTTTTCACCATTGGTTTCAGGATTTAAGATGACTAATATTAAAACATGCAAAGAAAATCCATTGTACTTTTATGAAATCCGCCTGCTGTGGAAAGATATCAAAACACAGTCTCATATAGGCTGGTCATGTTGGAGTGTAACATTTATTAAATTTTATCATGTATGATCACTGTATCATAACCAATTTAAAACTGACAACTTTCACATTAGAAAACACAGAGAACATACTGATTTTTCAACCATTTTGCTTACATGTACTTCTCAGCGCTCATGCAGTGCTCATAATTAGGAGATACTGTACATTAACCCTCTAATATTATGCTAATTAAGAACCAAGTCAGAGGGTAGAAAAATATCAACATAAATTCATTCTCCAAAAACTGCCCATGGACATATCATCACAGTTCCCTATAATTATATACTTACAGTCCATTCTTCTGTAAAATGCATAATGGTAATCATATAACAATAGTTATGACAAGGCAACGATATCATTTCAGGAAGGAATACAACAAATGAGACTAAAAGTTGAAGAGAAGAGATCAGAGCATATGAAGGTCATTTCAGAACACCACACGGACTTCAGTGTTTTCCACTTTCCAGTTGGAAAGAACATGCACAAAGTATTCTTAGCAGCCTGCTGTCAGGAGGCATGAAAAATTGGCTTCCATTCCATAGATGTTGAGAGAAGATCAATGGCATTGAGGAAAGAGAATTGTGTTCATTATCTTTTGGGTCTGTCTATGTCATCTATAGCTGCTAGAAGTTTCTGTCTTGCTTTTTTATTGATATGGGATCCCAGGCAAACATTAACCAGATTGGTCAGCTGCTTCGTTGAATACTCCTGCTCAAAAAAAGAAGATCAAATTTAGTACATTGATCAATGGAAGGATGGGCGGACACTCAGGTCTCAGCAGACAGTTACCGAGCACTACAACCCAGAGGAAAGCAGTGAAAGTATAGTTCAGACATGAAAGACAAAGCGTTTACGAGCTGTGATAATCGGAAATAAGGTACCACAGCATTCATTTGAAATAGGAAGGACTAGGATCTCTTTAATATGGAAGACAGTCTGACATGCCTATGCTTTTTAATATGTTTAAGAGCACACACTTTATGCCTGTTTCTGTGACAGTCTTTGTTATTAAGTTATCAAATTACACTGACATTTCAAATTTTTAAAATGCTACTGAATAAGCATTTTCCAGCACTCCACATTTTGTAAACATTGTATATAAAGAACAAAGATCTCCAATCACAGAACAACTTTTCCCAAATAGAATAAATGAATAAGGTAACATAAATCAGAAAGTTACTGGTTTTTAAACCCTCATATTGTAACTGGTAGCTAGTTAGGTAAAAAAAGTAAAACCATTAAGTACTTTCTGTTGTACAAGTATTTGGTTTCTAAATTTGAGATTACAAGTTGCTAGAATGAGAAAGAATGGACCTCATCAGAAAGTTTTATATACTGACAGGTCTTGGGGATTGAATAGCTAGAGTTCAGGCCAGGAGAGAGGGTTGTGTCTATCATCTACCTGGAACATGTCTTCACTGGAGGTAACCACTGAAAACAGTGCAATTTCAAAATATGAGAAAGAGTTCATTTTAAAAACTCAGCAAACTACTCAGAGCATCTGTAAAGACCTGGCAAATTCTCTTAAGTAATCAGTCAATACTTAGCGGACACAACTGTCATCAAGCACTGGACCCCAGACACCGCAGAACTGGGGTTCTCTTAAGACAGGGCAGGCCCTGTTGCTAGGAAATTTCCAAAATTTTACAAATATCAGTTTCAAGGCACGACCCTCATTACTACACTTCTTGACATTGGCATATCTAAGATACACAATAATAAAAACACATAAATGATGAGATGACTAGAAAAAGAAACCTTTAGGTACTTAAACTATTCTCTAATCCCACACTGGACAAATTCTCCATTTACAGGGGGAAAAGCCCAGGAACATGAAGTCGGGAGGACCGGACTGTGTTCCAGCACTGTCACTCAGCAGCCCTTGTACCTATCTGGGCCTCAGGGTCCAAATTTGCAAAGCAAAGAGACCTGAGAGCATCGAAGGTTCTTTGCTGCTCTACAAGCTGTTCTCCATGTTCAGTTAACATGATCACCTACAAGAAAGTTAAACTGGTATTCCAGCTAATCTTGCTGCCAATAATTATTTTTTTAATAAATCTTTATTGTTCAGATTATT